TACTCTGGGATTTTTCATGTGTAACGTCTTTCCTCTCGCTTTCGTGCAATTTGTGGGAGTGATTACGTGAAGTGGGACGGAAGTGTGTAACAGGAAGTTTGGGAAGCGCGCGCTACTTGATTTGAATTTAGAACATAATGTTCAAATGGCTTATACATTTTGTAGTAGGTTTTATTTGGTTTCATCACAGACATATAATACTATAGTTATATGTCTGTGGGTTTCATACCCGACTAACCCGTAAGGCTCGCTCGTTTTTTTGACATCTTTCTATAGATGTAAGGCCGGTTTAAAACCAATCCGTTTAAAACGAAAAAAACCGTTTAAACCGAAATAAACCATTTTTTTCGATTTAAAACGGTTGGTGTTGATGAATATGTTTTTCTTAATTATAACTACATTGTCTTGATTTTACCGAGGTAGGAATATAACGGAGTACCTAAAAACTGTATAAAGATTTTTAAAATGTGTGATATACTTAGCGAGTTTAGTTCTAGTTGGTCCATCCGCGACCAAGCATAGGTATTACATAACTAAGTTATAAAAACTGTTATCATAAGTTAAAAACTCTGAGTTGGTAAATATTTTTTTTTTAAAACGGTATAAAATCAATTTGATTTGGTTTAAAACAAGAAGCTTATAAACAACACTGGAGATTGGAGTGCAAACAATACCTTGAAGTGAAAAAATATGGCCTTGACGTCACATATGTTTGTTATCTCTTTCTAAGGGTGACCATGTTGGAATATACGTTTAGGATACATACTTACTTGTATCGTCTTTAAACAATTTATAAATCAAAGCGTTGGAGTTGATAGGAACTTGGGAACACATAATTTAATAGTAATAAAATTCACAAGTACAAAAATCATTTTTCATCCCACCACCTCGGAAAGTGTAATTTTGCGCTTCGAAATCTGGCTGGAAAATTCTATTTTATTCGCTTGAGCGGCAAAGTAGATTTGAATTTAGAACATCACATATAATGAGTACTCAATATAATTGTAAATTCAAAACGTCATTAAACCTATTTAATGTAACCTCTATGGTGCCAAATTTATGATTAGAACTTTTTAAATTGTGAAAAAATTTAAATTTGGAACCTTCTTGGTTTCTTTGTTTTATTTGCGTGCTTCGCGCCATTCTAGTTTTTCACGTTTTATTGCTTAAATATTTTGTCATTATAAATTGTTTTCTTTTTCATTTTGTCATTTCCTCGCTGAGGTGGGATGAAAAGTTACGTATTGCACTCGAGTGGAAAGATTTTTCACCTTGTGCTCGTTTGTTTCCCTCGCTGACGCTCAGGATTCTAATTTAGAATCACTCGCTGCGCTCGTGATTCAACTTTAGAATCCTTCGCTTGCTCGGTCATCCAAATCGAGCACGCGGTTAAAAAGGAACTTTCCACTCTTGTATAATAAATAACTGTGGAGGCTAAGGACTGTATTTTAATTATTATTAGAGAAAATAAAACAGTGGTGGCAGTGACAAGGTAAAACAATCTATTTTAATGTCAAAGAATAACAAAACTCAATAAAAAAAGTATCAAAAACTCATAGACAAAACATAGTGATATAAAAGGTGCGCTATCCGGCACAATAACTATTATTCATATTAGATGCGTCTTATATTATGCAATGTCAAAAACGTTTATAAAAAATTAACGAGAAAGAATATGCAAACCCTTTTTAAAATAGCCAGAAATGCCTTTTACTAAGAATGGACTAGAAACTTTAAGCTACATATTTTGGCTGATAAATAAAATTGACCTTTTAATGGTATTGTTACGTGTAGGGATGGGGTGCGATATTATATGCCAGTTCACGATTGACAGTTTTTTATTCACCACACAGTTCACACAATTAACACACAATGTTAATTACAAAACACTCACTAAACACTAGTATTTCACTGTACAAGTCTCTAAACAATCTCACTTGAACACTTTTGTTGCTCTTTGATCGCCTTTGGATTCGCTCCGAAATCGCTGTTGAAACTCAACTGTCTCTGCGCGGCGCCAATCGCCCTTATATACGCCGATCGATGCATTCTAGAAAGTAAATAAATATTTCCAACACTCACACCAATTAGCCTAGCCCCAAAGTAAGCACTATAAGGCTTGTGTTATGGGATACTAGGGTAACGGATAGAATACATAAACTGTACATATATAAGTATATTTTTTTTTATAGAAATACATATTAAACATCCATGACTGGAGTACAAATGCTCGTATTCAGCACACAAACATCTGTCCCCACCGGGATTTGAACCCGGGACCTCTCGAGTCGGCGACACCATGAAACCCGGCGTACAAACCACTCGACCACGGAGGTCGTCGAAAGTCGAAGTTCTAGAAAGTACCTGTTAAATTGAGAATTACCTAGCACCCGCGATTACGAAATACCTACTTATACCTACGCAAGTAACACGCATAACTTGTAAACAAGTGCAGATATCGTTTTTTCTCTCTTTTACGTCGCACTGCATAAGGCGGTATAAAATCAATTTGATTTGGTTTAAAACAAGAAGCTTATAAACAACACTGGAGATTGGAGTGCAAACAATACCTTGAAGTGAAAAAATATGGCCTTGACGTCACATATGTTTGTTATCTCTTTCTAAGGGTGACCATGTTGGAATATACGTTTAGGATACATACTTACTTGTATCGTCTTTAAACAATTTATAAATCAAAGCGTTGGAGTTGATAGGAACTTGGGAACACATAATTTAATAGTAATAAAATTCACAAGTACAAAAATCATTTTTCATCCCACCACCTCGGAAAGTGTAATTTTGCGCTTCGAAATCTGGCTGGAAAATTCTATTTTATTCGCTTGAGCGGCAAAGTAGATTTGAATTTAGAACATCACATATAATGAGTACTCAATATAATTGTAAATTCAAAACGTCATTAAACCTATTTAATGTAACCTCTATGGTGCCAAATTTATGATTAGAACTTTTTAAATTGTGAAAAAATTTAAATTTGGAACCTTCTTGGTTTCTTTGTTTTATTTGCGTGCTTCGCGCCATTCTAGTTTTTCACGTTTTATTGCTTAAATATTTTGTCATTATAAATTGTTTTCTTTTTCATTTTGTCATTTCCTCGCTGAGGTGGGATGAAAAGTTACGTATTGCACTCGAGTGGAAAGATTTTTCACCTTGTGCTCGTTTGTTTCCCTCGCTGACGCTCAGGATTCTAATTTAGAATCACTCGCTGCGCTCGTGATTCAACTTTAGAATCCTTCGCTTGCTCGGTCATCCAAATCGAGCACGCGGTTAAAAAGGAACTTTCCACTCTTGTATAATAAATAACTGTGGAGGCTAAGGACTGTATTTTAATTATTATTAGAGAAAATAAAACAGTGGTGGCAGTGACAAGGTAAAACAATCTATTTTAATGTCAAAGAATAACAAAACTCAATAAAAAAAGTATCAAAAACTCATAGACAAAACATAGTGATATAAAAGGTGCGCTATCCGGCACAATAACTATTATTCATATTAGATGCGTCTTATATTATGCAATGTCAAAAACGTTTATAAAAAATTAACGAGAAAGAATATGCAAACCCTTTTTAAAATAGCCAGAAATGCCTTTTACTAAGAATGGACTAGAAACTTTAAGCTACATATTTTGGCTGATAAATAAAATTGACCTTTTAATGGTATTGTTACGTGTAGGGATGGGGTGCGATATTATATGCCAGTTCACGATTGACAGTTTTTTATTCACCACACAGTTCACACAATTAACACACAATGTTAATTACAAAACACTCACTAAACACTAGTATTTCACTGTACAAGTCTCTAAACAATCTCACTTGAACACTTTTGTTGCTCTTTGATCGCCTTTGGATTCGCTCCGAAATCGCTGTTGAAACTCAACTGTCTCTGCGCGGCGCCAATCGCCCTTATATACGCCGATCGATGCATTCTAGAAAGTAAATAAATATTTCCAACACTCACACCAATTAGCCTAGCCCCAAAGTAAGCACTATAAGGCTTGTGTTATGGGATACTAGGGTAACGGATAGAATACATAAACTGTACATATATAAGTATATTTTTTTTTATAGAAATACATATTAAACATCCATGACTGGAGTACAAATGCTCGTATTCAGCACACAAACATCTGTCCCCACCGGGATTTGAACCCGGGACCTCTCGAGTCGGCGACACCATGAAACCCGGCGTACAAACCACTCGACCACGGAGGTCGTCGAAAGTCGAAGTTCTAGAAAGTACCTGTTAAATTGAGAATTACCTAGCACCCGCGATTACGAAATACCTACTTATACCTACGCAAGTAACACGCATAACTTGTAAACAAGTGCAGATATCGTTTTTTCTCTCTTTTACGTCGCACTGCATAAGGCTCATTTTAGAATGAGCCGCCTTACTCGACTTCTATTGCGACCCGCGGTGCTCTGGCAAATTCGATCACTAGCACATTCGCGGTTCCGTTTCGAGAGCGTTTGTGACAGTATAATGGACAACCAAGAATTGCTTTTAATGACATCTTTCGGGAAGGGGAAACATAAACAAAGGTATAAGACCGCTGCTAGATAGCTGTTATTAAATAGGTTTTCTACATCTAATCAACATGATCTACTTCAGTACTTATTATAAACTTATTTTCATATTTTGAACTTTGTAATTAATATTTACAATAATACTTATGTATTATAACTTTCTCAAAATATCTCAAGTGTAGTGATAATGGTTACCCTACAAAACCAAAATTAAAAAAATTTACCATAATGAAGTGTAAAAAACATAGTTCTTTTATTTTTGTATTCCAGTTTTCAACCGTTTAAAACGATTTATTAGGGATTTAAAACGGCAACATTTTGTTTAAAACGTTTTAAATCAGTTGTTTTACATCTACTTTCCTCACGCTTACCTGCAATTTGTGGAAGTGTTTTCGTGAAATGGGACGAAAGTGTGTAACAGGAAGTCGCGAAAGCGCGCGCTATTTGATTTTACTTTATAACATAATGTTCAAATTTCATTCATAATGTTCACATCATACGCGACTACTGATACTGTAAGGCTCGCTCGTTTTTTGTTTTAATCTATGTGTTAACCACATTTTAAGAATACCTAAGTAAGTAACTCATTACATTCTTGTTTGTATCGTAGCAAGCAAGTTATTGAATATTACAGTAACAATTATCTAAAAAGAATCTTAAAATATATGCAAGTTGGTTGAAAATATTAATCGAAAACAACCTGTGTTTTCGATATTTTTCGCTTTTACACCAAAAAAATAACCCAGGCATATTGTTTACTTTAAACTCAGATTACAAAACTAAAGTGCCACCAAAGCAAATATCAAGTCAAAAGCGAATATCAACTCACTTCAGTACACTACAACACATTGAGTTGTGAATACGTCCCGTGAATATTAAGTTTTTATCAAATCTGTGCCGCCTTGTTCAAACATTGAAAAAACTTTTCACAAATAAAAAAAAACCTTTGACTTCGTATTTGCTTTGGTGGCAGCAATTGCATGTTCCATGCGTTCCATCTGCCTTTTGATCTATAATCTGAGAGTCAAATAATACCAAAAATAAAGGATTAGATTTATAACAATTATTTATTATTTCCATGAAAATTTAATGGCTCTTAAAGCTTTTTTTGCTGTCCTTGTAGCTTCTTCTTTCATTCTGTGTTGCTTTTCCTTTTCTGCTAATCCGACGACAGTATCGTGATGTAAAGCTGTCTTCACAGATGCTTTTGAAAATAATTTCTTCAAAACATAGTCATCATCATTATCTTTGCTTGCAACTCTTTTGCTTCTCTTCTTCTTAACTTTTTTAATTGCTATCAAATTCTCTATATCAGGTTCAAGTGAATATTTTCTTTTTTTAGTCTTTTTATTGACTTCATTTTTTATGACTACAGAAATATTGCACATTAATGTAGAGGAAGATGGTTCTGAAAGATTAGGATCTATAGTTTTCTTACTAATATCCTTTTCAGTTTTATCAATTTGAATTTCGCAACTATTGTTACTTGCTTTAGTTTTGTCATCTGTTTCACTTGTTTTCTGTAAAACATTTTCTATTAAATTTTTCTCATAATCTACCTTCTTATGCATGTTAACAATATCTAGTTCGGACATAATACTTTCAAAAGGGGCACTTGTAATTTTGTCATCAATTATGTTATTTTCAGGTTCTTCTATTTTGGGTGGATTCATCAAAATTTCTCTTCTTTTTCTATACCGCTGCCTTGGATCTTCATGGAGTGGGGATAACAATTTATCTTCTGTGTTCTTAGTTATTTTTCTGCTGATTTCTTTTGCCATTCTCCTCATTGCTTCAATTTTTCTTTGAGAAGAAGTTTTACTGTCAATATCAATCTTTTTTTCTTTGCTTGTGTTAGCATACACTTTTGAATGTTTAAATAGTGATGATGTTTCAGTGTCTCCTTCTGGATTTGGTTCATCCAATGTAAACAACCCTTGTAAATTACTGGTTGTAAGGACATTCTTCTGATTAGGATCTATGAGAATTTTATTACTAAGAAAATGTTTGAAAATTTGCCTTTGATAAATTTTTTCTTCAATTGTACCTGCTGATATTAATCTATAAACTGTAACATTTTTCTGTTGACCAATTCTCCAGGCCCTTTCTTTTGCCTGATTATCTGTTGCTGGGTTCCAATCTGGATCGTATATAATAACTCTGTTGGCACCTGTTAGATTAACACCCAAGCCACCAACTCTTGTAGTTGAAAGAAATACTAAGTAATCAGCATTTTCATTAAAAGTTTTAATAATACTCTGCCTCTGACTAATTGTAACTGTACCATCCATTTTTAGATATTTGAAATCTTGATTTTGTAGATACTGTTCCAGTAGGCACAACATAACTCTGGATTGGGAGAAAATTAATGCTCGATGTCCTTGCTTTTTCCATATTCTTAGTAATGAGTTTACTACAGTCATTTTACCACATCTTTTCCAATGACCAAATTTCTCATCTAAGATTTGTGAATCATCTTCTTGAATTTCATATAGGTATAAATCTGGATGATTACATATTTTTCTAAGAGTAGAAAGAGCAACCAAAACTCTGGCTCTGAAAGGATCGCCATACCTACTTTCTTTATCAAGAATACTTCTTACTGTGCTGCCCATAAGGTATCCCATGTACAAATCTCGTTGTTCCTGAGTCAATGCACAAAATAGTACTTGTTCATTCTTTTCAGGTAATTTTATATGTTCTTGAACTTCCAGTTTTGTTCGTCTCAACATGTAAGGTGTAATAATATTTTTAAGGGCTATAGCTATTTCCAAAGCTACAGCTTCTTGAGTTTCAGTCGCATTTGCATAACCCCCCTGAGTTATAGGATTAGCGAAATATTCCATAAATGCATTATATGTACCTAATAAACCTGGTCTCATAAAATCAAACAATGACCATAACTCTTGCAGACTGTTTTGCATTGGTGAACCAGTTATAAGTAATTTATGAGGAGTTTTAAATTTTTTTATATGTTTATTGATTTGCGTTTCTGGGTTTCTAATTTTATGGCCTTCATCTAAAATTACGTAATGCCATTTGCGAGACAATAAATCATTGGAATACTTCACTACTCCTGCATATGTTATTAACAATACACCATGAGATTCATGTAAATCACGAATAAGTTTATTGTAATTTCCATTGTGGGAACCGGAATTGTGTAGCACTGCAACTCTCAAACAAGGATACCAATAATGAAAATGTGATACCCACTGATATATAACCGTTGCAGGGGCAACAATGATAGACGGACCAAGCCCTCCCCAAGAACCACAATCAGTATTAGAAAGACCAGCAAGGAAGGCAATAACTTGTACAGTTTTTCCCAAGCCCATTTCATCTCCAAGTAAGCCGCCAGATTCTACTTGATGTAGTTCCCATAACCATTTAACTCCCGTTTTCTGATATTTGTACAATTGATTCCATATAAAGTTTGGCACACAGAGACCATTCTGAAGTTCATGTTTTTCTTCAAAGTCTTTATTGCCTTCTAAAATATATTGAATATCTGCAGAATATGGTCCATCAATGACATTTTTGACTTGTGCATCTGCTAAGTTTTTCCTCCAATCTTTAATTCTTTTGTTGTACAGGGTTTTATCTCCATCATCTATGATTTTCTTTAAGTTACTCTTGAAGCGAGTGGTTGTCGATGGCATAAGCTGTTTTGATTTTTCATCTTCTTCAGAAGATGGTAAATACTCACTTTCTTCATCTGAACCTTTTGTTGCAGAAGAGTTTAGTTTTTGGTGGTGAGACGTGTTTGTATTCTTACTTGAAATTTTAGGATTATTTCTGATGAACTGCTTTTCTTCTTTTTTGGATGTAAGTTCCGCAGCAGTTTGACTTTTTTTTGATATTCTATTAATTTTACTACATGTTTGTTCACTTTTTTGCTTAGCGAGTGCTAGTTGTGTCTCAAGATATTTACTAATATCTGCCATAATGCTGCTTGCGGCCCGAAACAATTTTATTTAATTATTAATTATTTATTTACTTTACACACAGGCTGTCGTCACTTCTAACAAAATAACCATAGATACCAAAAATAACTGTGGCGTAGGGATATTCATTTAATATCGATATATCGAAATTATTCGATATTTACAATCGATATTTTGACAAAGACTTTTTATTCGATATATCGATATATTTAAAAACATATCGAATTGAAAAAACTAACGCTGACTAATAATGACAATAAAACTAAAGTAAAGGAGATTGGCAAACCGAGTGTCAATGAAATGTATCATGCATACCAGTAGCGGGATATGAGTATATTGAATTTATAGATCATAATGCCAGTAAAATTTCCCAAAAATAAAAATTCAACAAACAATATGCCTTTCACGTGCTTTACGTTCATGACGTTATCTAGCCCTTCTTCTGAATGACTTCTCCAGTCTCCTTGTTAGTTTTAATATTTGAATTCCCTTAAATAAAAATTAAGGTCATCCTATTAGAAAGGGATAAAAGGCCTCCGTTCTATATCTCTCACTAATTCCGCTTTATTAGTAACAGTGGTGTCCTGTTTTTAATATAAACCGTGAATTTTGAGTTACCTAAGAAACTTTACAAGCGGTTTCAGAAAACAATTAACATTATATTTATTCGAAAAAAATTTTTTTGCAAATACTTTTTTCCAAAAATTTCTCCACCTTAACTCACTATTTGTGTAACTAAGAAACCACAACAATGTTTTTTTTTATAAATTGAGTCAAATAAAACTAATTAGAAATTTGGCAAGTAAAAGGTTATTTTTAAAGGCTGTTCAAATAGTCAACCAATAAAGAAAAATAATGAAAAGCAAAAGACTAAGTAAACTTTTATTCATACACTGGTGCCAATTCTGGCGTGATTCTCTAAACTTAAAACTAAATTTGACATCAGTCTCTCCTTTTCATTCTGTATAGAGAATGACAAGGATATACTGCTGTCAAATTTAAGTTTAGGTTTAGAGAATCATGCTAGAATCGACACCAATATCTAAATAAAGAACATTGGTCTTAAATGGGTATTATGGTAATAAAATATTTCGACTATAAATTTTTAGTGTTTCACTTAAATATACAAAAATCATCTCTCCATCGTCTTAGTAGTATCTACAATTCTATTTAAGTAATACTCATAGTAAATTAAACTTGTGATAAATATTCGATATTGAAAAAATATCGATATTTCGAAAAACATCGATATCGCTTTCTGATATTTTATATCGAATACATGTATCGATATATATTTTAAGTGTACACCCCTATTGTAGCGTGCCTTTTGTGATAACTATTAGATAAAAAATACAACCCTGCTTAAACAAACGTATTAAGTCTACAGTGAGTTGCATATCTTAGTTATCAGTTTATTTTTGATCAGGTTGTACTTCAAAATGTATATTGGTATGTTGGTGTTCTGCCACTGATGCCAGATTGGGGGGATTCCCCAAAATTGTTTTTTTTTTGTTAAAGCAATGGGGGGTAAATATTTTTTGGGGATTGATGTGGGGAAGAAATTTGGGTTTGGGGGAAACGGGGGGTTTTTATTACATTTTTATTACAAACTTTTAATCTGTAAAAAGTCGCGATTAACAGTGTCTCTCTCTCATTCTGTTCTCATTTGTTCTTATAATTGTTTGCACCTTGGTGAAATAATGGCATTATTAAAACAAAGTTATGTAAGAAAATTAACAAAGGAGTGGGAAGACGACGCATGCGAAGATGTTGATCCAGTAATGGATGCTGTTGCAAAAATACAAACTATGTAGTAAATATTATATTTTTAATGAATATTTTGCATGTTGGCGGGTTTTTTCTTCAAAAACCTGTATTATGTGGGGATTTCGGGTAAGTTTTGGGGGGTAGGTGAAATGGCTTTCTGGTAACACTGTGTTCTGCATCAAAACAAAATGTCTTCTTTCATCAATCAAGTTGAAATTTTGTGGTAATTGGCATTGAAAAACGTGTATTTATGTGAACTAATCATAATGAGTGGAAAGATCCTGCGAAATTATAAAATTTGTGACTCCCTAATTCAATTCACACCACCCTTAGTCAGGGAAGAGGTCCTTTAAAATTGTATAGTGTAAAACCCGCATAATCAATGGACTGTCGTCTGTCATATTTGCATCTCTTTTACTCTAAAGTATTTCGCGGTGGACGCATCCGCAGAAAGCATCTGCGGATGCGTGTAGAGAGGGCATTACAATTATGTACGAGATTTTGTCAGAAAGAATATAAAGAGATTTGAAACCCTGATTACGAGATTTTAGCTGCATAAGTACGAGCAAAAAAAATCGTAACGTGGTAGTCTGGTTGCTCAGAGCCAAGGAACTTATTACTTACTGGAATGCTTACGCGACCCTCAAAATCGTTCCGAGAGCATAGCTGGATTGGTGGAATCTGTCTCGTTCTATTAGTCTGCTCAAACAGTTGCAAGAGAGGAACAGATTCCATTTTCATCGTTGTCGCGCTAGGGGTAATTTCCCCCCTTATGAAGGTAGACACAAAAATGGAATTTATGTTTAACTAGTTAGAGTACATTTTTTGAATTCCCATATTGTTTCGTAAGCATTCCAGTTAGTATATAAGTTCCTTGCTCAGAGCTCAAACTAAGGGTACGGCCACAGTGCACGCTGGTTCAGAATCAGATTCAGACTGTATGGGATAAAATAGACAAAAACCATTCAAATAGGAATGTCGTTGATAGGTGCTGGCAAAACATCGCTGGAGAAATGGGTGTTGAAGGTAAAGAAATGCTTGTTGAAGTTATACTTCTTTAGGCGCGTTATGAAGAAATGATGAGAGTGAAATTTTAAGATGCGCGCGCATCACTGTAACACAAAATTTTAACAGCATGAAGTTGGTCGGTGGGTGCTAACGACTGCATTGTGAAGGCCTATCAAAAGTATTTATTAATCTGGAACAACGGAACCAAAGCGCGATTCAGGAGACTACAGCGCCATCTCTTGACCATTGGTGTAGTAGAACCAAAAACCACATCTTTATTTTTTGTAATAAAGTAACAGTTATAGGTATTCATATTTATAATATTTATCCACATGTTTCTAGTTTGTACATTCGGAATACGTGTTTGAGTTTCATACAAGTGCAAATCACATATGTTCTAATAAATTATATTCAGTAGCGATTTTAATTGAATATTTTGATTATTTATTTATTTTTTCAAATTAAAACTGAACTTTATTGACTGTGTCCTTTTCCAGACTTTTTATTAATTTATTGTAATTAATTATTTGCATGCAATTAAAAACTAATTTTAAACGATGCCAAAGAAGGATAACTTCTCACGCGCCTACATAAGTACACGCACCCATTTTTTTTTTTATTGTAGTCTTATTTTTAATACAATTTATTAGTATATTATATCGTCGTAATTATTGTTACAGAAAGTATAGCATAAAATTTGACACATAAATTCCCCAAACCCAATCACTCCATGAAATGATTCCCGTTTTAAAAAAATATTATTAGCTTTAAATTGTTACGATTTGATTTGTATTAAAGTCTTATAAAATATTCAATTTAACCCAAAAAAAGAACTTTTCAACAGTGAGAAGTTTCTTTAATGTCGTTATAAACTCAATCTTATATTAATATACAGTTTAATAGTCAATTATTATAAAACAGATGTCTGAAATTTCTTCCCACTATTATCCCCCCATTGCTTTAAAAACCCCCCAAATTTGGGGGAATCCCCCAACCTGGCATCAATGCTCGCGTCCGCGTCTTGTATTAACCAAAGCCTTTATATAATAGCATTATATGGTATTATATATAATATTAACTGCCTCCACTGCGGCCATCACCTGCTTTCCTCAAGCCAATTTTATTATTAGCACTGTAGGGCACATTTAAAATTGTAGGTTATGTCATATGTTACTCATTATTTTGTTTTGTCTTTGTTAATTCAAGTGTTCAAATATTTTGTTAGTCTTTAATACTTTGAAATGTTTTTCTATATATGGGGTGAAGTGCTGTGAGATTCTGGGTATTGTTGTCTTCTATCATTATATGACGGTCTTCTAGTTGTGTTCTTTAATATATATATATATATATATTATTCCTCCATATAAAATAAACAAACTAAAGACGTGGCTGTATGGACTTTAGTTCCCCTTGCCTTCCTTAAAAAGGGACAATATTAAAAAAAATGTTCTCTAATCTTATTGGTCTATGGTTTAGTTCGATCGCGTTGGATCGCGCACGTGTGTGTAATTTGTTTTTACACGATATCTAATTTTTAAGTGGTTTGCAACCTGCTCTTAACCAAGAAATACTCTAATACGTACGTTTCGACGCTAATGACATACATTTGTTTTGAGACCTTTGTTAAAAAGGAACCTAAAATCTCGGACCTGAAAAAAAGGTTTTTTTCGGGTCCATGCCTAAAATCACATGTTACATTTATTTTTAAATTGCTTTACAATTTGCACAACTGAATTTCAATGACTTTTCGAAGTAGTGGTTATAGCTACTTAAAAAGAAGTTAAAGATGAAATTGTTTATTTCCATTTTACAGTAATAACTGTTTTTGGTTCAATTTACAATAACCCTACAAATTTTTACAAAACTTGTTTGTTCGTTATTATATAAATATTTTTTTTAGAGAAACATGCAAAAAGTTAAAAGAAAAAGTGATGGAGGTGAACCTACAATCTCTAGTAAAAAAAGAAAACATGAAAATCAAGAAAGTAATTATAATAAACAACCAGTTAAAAAAGATTTTAAGAAAAAAAGCAATTTCAAAACACGTACTAGTAATGCAGTGTCAGATAATTTTAAGAAAAACAAGAAGGACACAGAGAAGGAGAATGGAGAGAAACCAAAATGGTCTGAAATGAAAAAGGAAAAGAAACAGTTGAGACTTGCAAGACGCAAGGCTAAATCTACAACTGAAGTGTTTGAAATATCCCACAAAGCTAAACTCCTTGCAGCCCAAATACAAAGGTTAGTTAATTGATGGACAGTGGAAGTACCTATTTTTGTAATTACAGAGGAGTGCACCAAGCAAGCAGCTGACAATCACAACATAAGTTGACAAAATTGCTTCGGCTTACACATTTACTATGTGTGAGGCATTACGTTTGGTAGTAGTGAGAATGGGAATTTAATTTGTAACTAACCTGAAAAATATAAATAATGAACTTTGTGTAATTTGTCACATAATAAATCAGTAATAAATATTTATTACTATAAACTGACAAATAGCAAAAATTTGATGGGTTAAGCTTGTTAGTTACCTCGTATTTGTGGTGCTTATTACTTCATATTTACTGTAGTGTTCTATCTCTTCTATCACTTCATGTTTTTGTCTTCCATCAGATGTTGAAAACTTATAATTTTAAGAAACAGTTCCAACCTTCCCTTAAGTGTGACATATACATATATTATGTTTATTGTAAATTGAGGTATGTGTAATCCATATTTAAAGTTTTAGTTTCAGTGCAGGTAAGATGTAAAAGTGTAACGCTCACAAATGCAAATTGTTATCATAGCTCTTAACTTGAAGAAATTTTACCAATCCAGCTTGACTGAATAAATATTTGGTTTCTCTTGTATTCATGGTGATATAAATAATTCCATGCTGAGTATGCTAGGCTGTTGCATTCGTTATATATTTCTAAAACTAAAGAACAATCCTCATTCCAGAAAAGTTGTAAAACAAGATTTCCGTTTAAATTCTTGTAAGGAGCTGCATGACTTACTTAAAGGACAATATAAATCTATAGCTCTGACACATGATCTGAGTAGAGTGATTCAAATACTACTGAAGTATAGTCCAGAAAATATAAAAAATGAGATTACTGCAGAACTGCTGGATCTAATGGTACCTATGGTACAGTCAAAATATGCTCACCATTCTGTAAAGCGTATACTAAAATATGGTACTGATCATATTCGGCATGAAGTAATTAAAAGATTTTTTGGTCATATTGTAACATTAGCTGCTCACACAGTTAGTGCACCTGTATTGGACTATGCATATGGTGAATTTGCAAATAACAAAGAAAAATTGCATATGCAACAAGAATTTTATGGAGACATATATAAAAATGTAAGTATGGGAGTGACTGAAATACCATCAAAATCGAGGTATTACTATTTAGCTTTTATGATGACTTATTAGTTGATAAGCACAAGAGAATGCTCCTTTGCATTACTTAATCCCAGTATGTAAATTAAAATCTGTAGCTTTCATAGTTTCAATTCACAACCAAACCAATCTGGTGGATAAGACCATTTACCAACTGTTAATGATCCATCTATTTGAGAATAGCACATTTTGGGAAACAGATATTGTACTCCTGATTGCATTATTCTAATTATGGACTTAGCTTACATAGGTAATAATGTAATTCTAATATCCAAAAACAAACTTTCAGACGAAGGATAACAAAGTCAAGACACTTAGTGACAGTTATAAAGACAGTCCTGAAATGAAGTCTGCTATATTGCAGTCATGTAAAGCAAATATTCAACGTATATTAGACAAGAATTTGCATGATAGTGAGTAAGTATTATCTATTACAATCAGCACCGATCCAAGCCATTAATCAAGAGTAGAGCGAGATTCTTACACCACTATTTGGTCAATGTTTTCACTTCATGCAAATTTTAATTTAAGTTGGAAATTATTTTCGCTTAAGGATTATTTAACGCCATTTTCCACCTGGTGGGGGAAGAAAATTATCGCTACACTACCGATTGCTGGACCATCGCTGATGGTTATAATCTTTAGCAATGTTTTGTGATCAGACATTATAAATATAAAATCAATTACAGATTACTTCATTCTGTATTGTATGATTACATCCGTGAGTGCAGTGCAGAAGATCGAGTTGAGCTAATTTCAACACTTAGCCCTCTTATTGTGCCACTTAGCAATTCTTTACCAGGTGTCAATACAGCCAGTCTGTGCGTTTGGCAAGGGACTAATAAAGATAAAAAGGTAGATATAAAATTATTTGGATACAATAAAATTCTTCATAATAAATGGTGATGCTAAAATTTAAATTATTGGAAACATTCTTAACATATAAAACTTTGTCACTTTGAAATCTATTGTAACTTCAGTACTATTTCAGTATATTGCATACATAAAATAACTTCATGTTTCTGTCAAAAAAAAAACTTGTAATAATTGTTATTCCCAGACTATTCTGAAAGTGGTAAAGGAACATGCAGTCTCTCTGAGCAAACATAAGACTGGATATCGTTTGTTGCTCTCTATATTTGACTCTGTCGATGACACAGTTCTGGTGAAGAAAGCCATTGTATCAACATTAGCAGCTAATTTGAAAGATATTGTCACAGACCATTGGGGTATTATGGTAAGACCTTTTTAAACTTAAATTTTAACAATGTTCCGGTTGGTTGGTTAAAATCTAAAAAATGTAATATTGCCTATTATTTTTCAGACTATACATTGGCTAGTTAAGCCTAAAGACACAGCTACTTTTCATCCCACACTGATCAAATTCCTTGAAGAAGGTGCTCGTAGTGGTACTTCAAAGAAAGATTCAGACATTCGTACGGCAGAACTTCGTGAAGCCATCATTCCGTCATTAAAAACCCATATCCAGGATAATGCCGACTTTTGGCTCAATGGGAAAAGTATAATGTTATTAGTTGTAGCTATTTTATCTACAGGTAATCAGTCCATGTTATCTGATATTATAGTACACTATTCATTCCATATCTTTTGATGTATCCAGACCAAAATCTATTTAAAATAACACCAGCCGCTGTTAGAAATTATTACTTTTATCAGAAAAGCTGCAAATATTTAGTGAAAATGAAAGTATTGTTTTAAAACTTTGTTTTTACTACATATTTTTTAAGATTCGTCTAAAGAAATCCTAGATGCACTGTCCCAAGTAATATGCAAGCCAGATTGGGAAATAAAGTCTAATGACAAAACAGTTCTTGCTGTAGAAGATGCAGGCATCCATATGTGCCTTAAAAAGTTGGCTTCTCTAGATAAGGACAAAGCTGAAAAAACTTTGGGTGATGCTATTTCAGAACACTTAGATGATGAAACAGTAAGTAACTTATAATTGAAATATGTGTGTGTATATTTTTGTTAATGTGTGCACATTATACAAATAAATATCTGTCTTTAAGCTGCGTATATTTAATAATGTTTGGCCACGGCAAGGACCATCAGGGGTGATCAAAAGATACTAAAGAGTCGCCTATGATGACCCAGGTGATCATTTGATCTGGATCTCGAAATAATTTTGGGACCGCCATGACTATACTGAGGGTGCCTCAGTATCAGCGCGCGTAGCAGCGATCCGTTCACGATCGATCACAGGCCCAAGCATCAATTTTGACAGCTCCGTAATCGTATCGTCATCGTAAAATTTTGTGTGGAAGGAGCCTGTTTGTTCTTACGTCTGGTGTGACCCAAACAACCAAGCCTAATCACTCCATACTCGAGTAGTCCAGAAGTAGTAGTAGAAGCGACCGCCATTTTGCAAAAAGAAGTTGAAATCTGGTGCGGCGCTACTAAGTTTTCATAGAAACATTGACGATGCAATACAATTACGGAGCTGTCAAAATTAGTGCTTAGGCTTCAATAAGTGTGCAACCATGGACAATTTACCTCGTACTCTATCAACTGCCGCTTTCATAATTATTTTTAATTTTAGCCTTTTCAAGTCGGGTATAGGCAGGCAATATTACACTGATATTTCAGGCATCCTTTCTTAAAGATTTGTTGAACGTTAACTGTTCAATAGCACTTGTTTAGTACCATAATTATAATTTGAATAATTGACGACAGTTTTTGACAACACAGATACCAGTGCCATGCACCACGCCGCCAGAAATTGACAAAGTTTCGCTTAACCCGGACATGTCCTCTTAGACGGACGGACTTTTTGATTAGTACTGATATTTTCGGCTCTTTAATCAGTCCGGATTCTTTCAATTTAATTGATTATGAGTACCACTCATTCTACCACTGCGGGGACCATACCCTCGCAGTGCAAGCGTACCTACCGTGCCTATGATACTACTGTATCGTAGACATCATAACTAAATTAATTGGGTAGGGTACTAAGTAATATTTCCATTTTGTGATGAAAAAGTCCACCAGACTTATCGAAATGTCAGGCGTTTTGTCAGAACTTTTCAAATTCCTAAGTGGTAACCCTACTCTTGCGGCAGCACACGGATGCTTTTATGCTTATTATATCTATTCACCTCATCATAATATACTTTACAACAAATTTTCTTGGTTGTTCTATTTCATGACTACTTACATCAAGTAACATTCGGAAGTTCTGAGCGTACACACATTTCGGCAATTCATTTTTATTTGTATAAATAATGGCGTCGATTCTGGCATGTTTCCCTAAACTTAAAACTTAATTTAACATCATTATCTCCTTTTCATTTTGTATAGAGTATGACAATGATACACTGTTGTCAAATTTAAGTTGAGGTTTAGAGAATCATACCAGAATTCACACCATTATATAATTAAAGCAAGAGTTTCAATTATGAATGTTCTTTTACAGGTGAAAATATGGTTGAAAACAAACAGGGGATGTTTTTTCATTTTAAAATTAATTGAAAATAATAAGATTGTAGTCATCAACAAGATTGTACAGAAAGTAAAACCTCATGTTAATATTTTAACACAACAGACATCGGAAGGTGCAAAATTGTTACTGCAAAATATTCAACCAAAATAAAATATTTTTATTTATATTGATTGATAATGTATGTTTTAGTAATGTTTATAAGGTTTAAGCAATAAAAATACTAAAATGTAACATTATCTAATTTTATTATTTTAACAATAAGGCATTTGTTCGGTAGGTTGCATTGACAACCTTTATAACAAGGTGTAGCTTTGTCCCACCTCACCGGATGTTCCGTGCACTAAGCACATTAATATAGCAAATGAAACTCCTACTCTCTTAAATTTTTTACAATTTTGGTAAATTGAAATGTGCATGAAACGAGAATAAATAACTTATCATTTCGTTGCTGAACTGACGTTAGAGGGATAGAGCTACCAATCCCACTCCCTATCTATTACCCCTTGTTTCCACCAAGAAACAAGTAATATACTAGTTTTGAATAATACTTGACCCTTATTAATAAACGAGGAATAAGCTTACACTAGTTACGCCGTGTTTTGTTCATATCACACAAGTGCCGATTCTCATTCACTAAAGAGGAACAAAAAATTGAGTCACTAAATCCAAGCTTAAGCTTCGTTTATTAATAAGAGGGAAGATGTTTAAAGGTGCGTTTGGTTATATAACGGGTAGGCCACGTGTACGCGCGACCGGTGATTTACCTGTATATTACGCTCAAGCCAGTGTGCTCAAGCTGTTCAGTATAATAACTTATTTTAGTTTTAATGATGTTTTAATACGATTTAAAAACGACAATTCACCGTATAATGTTGAATTTGAATAACCGACCACTCAACAGTTATATAAAAAAAAAAAAAAAAAAAAAAAAAAAAACTTTTGTTGCTGCACGTGGATCGCTATTGCACTGGTCGGTTAAAATTTGTGAACAAAAAGAGCATATATTCACCGCTCCTGTTACATTACTCTGGCCTCAGACCAAATAAAAAGTTCTGAGACTCAGGCAAGGGGCGTGACATTTGGTTGTACATATTCATAAAAACAACATAGGTACAGAGCAATTAAAAAAACTTTCTGACTACTGAATACAGTAAGGTTATTTTATAACAAGTAGATAAAAGCAAATGCTAATTTCTTTGTAAAAAAAAATAAAAATATACATGTTAAAATTACATCTAGCGCTCTATAAGGATCTTATATAAGTACATAATCCGCGCTTTACAAATGTATGTTTTGTCTATAATTAGTTTAATTTAAAAAAAAGCGGTAACGTAGAAAAATATAACCGGCATATTTTTCAATTTTATACTTAATTACTTAAACACCTATCTATACAAAGTTCAGTAAATTAAATACATATAATACAATAGCAGATTTCTTTTTCATGACAGCGTAAAAAAGCAACTACTTACAGTAAAAAATATCTAGGTATTGAAATCTGAATAGATATACTAACATAACATACATACATAAATCAATATTTCTTAAAATGTTTTAGATATATCAGTTACTGCCATACTCAGGGTCGTTAATTCTCTTTTAGATTGGACTAAGGTTATCACTGTTACTTTCTTCTTAATAATATTAATAAAAGTCGACGTACAACATAATCACACTAATATTATAAAGGCGAAAGCTTGTGAGTGTGTATGTTAGTTACTTCTTCACGTCTAAATGCCTGGTATGCTATGCTATTTTAATAAAATTTGATATAGTTTGCTGACACCCTGGATTAACACATAAGCTACGTTTCACTGCGGGAAAATATTCCTAATAAACCGCGGGTAACACCGCGGAGCACAGCTAGTGAAACATAAAATAAATTTTCGCCTCTGTGTAGTCGTATGTGTATTATGGTATGAAATATGTTTGTCTTATTTATACATACACGTTATTAAATATTACTAAAAAAACATTATTAACATAATTATACAGATTCGTACCCTTATACGCAACATATGCATTCGAGTGAATTTTGAGACTCTGCTTATATAGATTATTCGTAAAATCCGTCGCCTCGTGTTCTGGGCATTAAAAACTATGTAAGTTTGAGTAGGTTAGAAGACAATAATGATCACGATAATTATATCGGATAGCCTACTTTAACAGCCCTAATTACAAAACTAGGACAAAATTTGAGCTTGGTTCTCAAAGCAGTCTCCGTCTTCGCTTTAGTAAACAAAAGTGACATTATCATTTTTAGACCAGGTTTAACTTACTCAATATTTTATGATAAATTGCTAAGATTAAAATTTATGACCATACTTTACCCAATGGCTTATTATCGATGTCGCGTAGAACTTTCAATGTTTTTTCTAATAACTCATTTTCTATATTTTCTACTGACCTAAAAAAGCATTATTATTTTTTACTTTTGCCTATGCAATCAACGATATTAAATACCCTAGATACACCACGTGCGCTCAAAATGTGTCCCTATCAATAAGTGCTTGAACACGACTCAAGCACTTCTTGGTTTCCAGATACGCGCGGACCGTTGAATGTCAACATACCGCTGAGCTCCGGTGAAAAAATGCGAAAAAAACTGTAACAGTATATAAAATGTCGTTTTTTCGACAGGTATATCTAATCAATGTTTTTTTAATTTAACGCATTTGAAGCAAATTTTGTTCTAATACCTACTAGAAACTGATTTAATAGAAAATATTTGTGATATTTAAATGCATGGCCGGTAATATAGCAGTCTCTTTTCGTCGCGATCCGTACCTGCTATTTTGTGTATTCAATATTGCGCGTAGAGGAGTCAAAGAAAAAAGGTCTATATTTTTCCGCAAATAGCAATTAATCGTAAATTTTTACGAGCTTTTATCTCGGGCTGTCATGACACTGACGCATGCGTTTTAAATAAGACCTTATATAGTGTGCTTTAAAGGTGATTTTTAATGTTTAAATAATGCCTTATATTGTTTAGAATACGCGACCATTTTATGGAGCTCTGTGGATCGTCAAATGTACCTTTAAGGCAGGTTTCGTGCATGATTTTGTTCGTGTTGGTGTTTCTAGGGTATTTAATATCGCAATACATTTCTGTGCTAACCGATATTGATTCGGTGATATGGAGCTCACCAAACAATAAGAGCCTGCGCTGTGTTAAGCAGGGGCAGGGATCGGGCGTCCGCTCGAAGTTTTTATGTCATTTCATAGAACGGCGCTTCGCAAGAGACCCGACTAACGCTTAAAGCAGCGCAGGCTCTAACTATAAAATATTTCTACAGTAGGTATAAAAGAAATCCTTTAAATAGTTCACAGTTTATTTAATGATCAAAGAAAGACGAAGATAAATTAATATTCTAGTTTCAATGGTGTTTTAATAGTTTTGATTTTTTAAACACAGATATCCTACGAATATTATAAATGAGAATGTTTATGTTTGTTGCTAAATTACGCAAAAACTACTGAATGGATATGCATGAAATTTGGTACGCATATAGTTTATAACCTGGATTGAGACATATACTTTTTATCCCGGAAAAATGATAGGATTAAAAAAAAACTAAACTAAATGCGGACGAAGTCGCGGGCGGCTGCTAGTTGTTATATATATTTTATTTTGTTTTAATAACGGGAACTGTGTTAAAAAAGCGACACTATTAAACTGCTATTGCGTCTATATTTTCATGTTAGCTTAGCAGCAAAGATGTACTACGATTATACTTAGCAGAATCAACACTGATTGATGAAGCAGTGCAGCTTCATCAATCACTTAAAACACATTACCGGTAAGCCAGCAGATACTTTGGCTATACTTGACGACCTCCGTGGCGGAGTGGTATGAACGCCTGGTTTCAAGGTGTCGCCTGCTAGAGGTCCCGGGTTCGAATCCAGGTGGGGGCAGATGATTGTGTGATGAATACGATCAATTGTACTCCAGTCATGGATATGAAATATGTATTTATATATACTATAATTATATATGTATCACTATACGTCTTCTATCCGTTACCCTAGTATTCCATTACCGTGCTTACTTTGGGGCTAGGCTAAATTGGTGTGAGTGTTGGATATATTTATACTTCTATAATCAACACCCATGTTTTGTACCGAATTTCCATTAATAGGCTTTTATTTTCTGCGGGTGTGTAAAAAAAAGTTATTCCACTAAGCAAACAAAATTGAGAAACAATGTAAGTTTTCAATGCACTGAATGAATGTTTGATGGTTACCTGTTAGCATCCAATACATCCCATGAATCATCTTGCAATTTTAAAAAAGTATCACCTACTTTTTTTTGGAATGCCGATACTTCATACCTGTAAAAAAGACAACAAATCATTGTTGATTTGCAGAACCCGATTTGGATAATGCAAACCGGTTTTAAGGCACCATTTCATAAATGCAGGGGCTGGCAGGGTTGTGGCCTGGGGACCCAATGAGTCTCTAACCAGCCGGGTTCAACAGATTCCCAAGCACGGAGGGGCTGGACATTTTAGGTCACCCATCCAATGACAAACCACTATGCAAGTTGCTTAACTTTAACAATGGCAACCCAAAGCGTTAACCACTTCCGCCATCGAGCTCCTGAATTAAACCTTGGAGATGGACCCAATGAGTCACCAACCAACCAGAACCAATGATTTCCGAAGCACAGAGGAGCTGGTGATAGTTCATTTTTAGTCACCCATCCAATGACAGACCACTGTAGTTGCTTTACATCAACAATGGCAATCCAACGCGTTAACCACTTGCGCCATTGAGCTCTTGAATGAAACCTTGGAGATAGACCCAACAAGTTACCAAGCAGCAGGGATCAACGGATTTCAAAGCAAGGAGGAGCTGGACATTTTTGGTCACCCATCCAATGACAGACCACTGAGAAAGTTGCTTAACTTCAACAATGGCAACCCAACGCGTTAACCACTTGCGCCATCGAGCTACTGAATGAAACTTGGAGATACACCCAACGAGTCACCAACCAGCGGGGTTCAACGGATTCCAAAGCACGGAGGAGCTGGACATTTTTGGTCACCCATCCAATGACAGTCCACTGAGGAAGTTGCTAACTTCAACAATGGCAACCCAGCGCCTTAACCACTTGCACCATCAAGTTCCTCAATAAAACCTTGGAGATAGACCCAATGGGTCACCAACCAGCAGGGATCAACGGATTCCAAAGCACAGAGGAGCTGGACATTTTTGGTCACCCATCCAATGTCAG